TTTTTTTTTGAACTTCTATTGGATTTTGCAGGTAGGAGCAATTACACCGCAAAGTTTGGAAGTGTTGTTGCAAAGCATTCATGATTGTCTTAGCAGTTCAGATTGGGTAACTCGAAAGGCTGCAGCTGACACATTATGTGTTCTGGCCATGCACCCAAGCTACTTAACAACTGAAGGAGCTGTTTCAACACTGAATATGCTTGAAGCTTGCCGGATGGACAAAGTGAGTTCTCCTTCTATAAACTCCGACATCTTCCATGTCAACGAATCTTCATTAATTTTGCAGAGCTCTTCAATGCCTCACATACCAGCCATTGTTCTTTGTCTTTCTTTTTTCTACTGTAAAGATTTTGTAATTTGGTCTTTAAAAATTCTGGCTCAGTTACCTGCTTTTATTAATAATGTTTTAGAATTAGAAATAAATCTTCCTATCTTTTGAGTTGAAGTTGAGAGCATTATTTTGTTGGTGTTTAAATGTCTGTCACACATTTGGTTTCTCATAATTTCACAGCCTGATGCCTGGAGTAAACTTTGATTTAGTATCATATATTTGACAATGGATACGTTTATTTTAACCTTTCATGATTCAGACATGATGATGCTCAAAAAAGTTGTTATGCAATCTTTTAACATTTTTCACAACTGACCCAGTTCAAGAGCCTTGAAAATTCTAATTGATTCATATTGTGATACATCTATGTCACTCCTGTCGTGATATATGGAAAATGGAAGTGCTTTAGAAAGTTTTATTTCCTTTCCACTTTTGTTTTTTATTTTAATTTATCTGTGCTTCTTTTTTAAATAACTGAACTAGGGCATAATAGGCATCAATGCTCTATGTTTTATCGTATAGTATTTCCAGATTTTCAGGATTGAGCACTATAAATTAGCTCTAATTTTTACTTGATCATATGTTTGAGCTGCTCTAATTTGCCATTCCTTAATAGAGTTGCATATGAATATGAACAATTGAAGGAGGCCCTTTCCATATGCAGTACTAGGTATAGTGAAGTAGGCTTATTTAAAACAATGCATGGTAGGGGCCACTTTTAACCTTTTCAACTGTTCTATCACTTGTGATGTCTGTATTTGGAATTTTAAAAGAATTAAATTAGGTACTATATTGCCATTCTTATATCATGATAACCCATTAACTAAAATTAACGTTATATATTGTTTTTTCTCAGATAAAACCTGTCAGGGAGAGTATGATGGAAGCTTTGCAGCTTTGGAAGAAAATTGCTGGAAAGGGCGATGGATCTTCATCTCATGGTAGGCCTTGAATTAAATAACCCTTGTTTGATTCCCATTCTTCTAAAAATTCATTTTTTCAAAACTCATTTTCAACCACACATTCTCCACAATCTACTATTCAAAATGCATTATTTCCCCAAAATGGGGATCAAACAGGGACATAGTTTGTCTTTAATATTTTCTTTCAGTTACTGATTTTAATTCGTTCATTTTTCATGCCCAATCCTTGAGATGGTGAGGCTTCTGAGCCAGCTGACTCATTGGATAAAAAGGACAGTCCAAATCCTGATGAGAGAGCAAGTGAAAAATCAGCAAAGAATTCTTCTAGTGGTACATCTCCCACTGATTCTATTTCCAAAGGAAAGGGGAGCCACATTTTTGACAAGGCAGTTGGGATATTGAAGAAGAAGGCACCAGGATTGACTGACAGAGAACTGAATCCAGAGTTCTTCCAGAAACTTGAAACAAGAGGTTCAGGTGATTTGCCTGTAGAGGTGGTTCTCCCTCGACGGTGTCTAAACCCTTCAAATTCACAAGCTGAGGAAGAGTCAGAGCCAAATTATACAGATCCAGTGGGGAGGACAAGGGTGAACTGCCGACAAGATAGGAGTGAATCGAATCAGAGGGAGTCATCAAGCATGCTTGTAGATTTTTCTAAAAATCCTAATCGTGAGGGATTTGTGAATAATAAAGGAAATTGGTTGGCCATTCAGAGGCAATTGTTGCAGTTGGAGAGGCAGCAGTCTCATCTATTGAATATGTTGCAGGTGTGCTTAATTTGTTTGCATTTAAGGAAATAATTCCTACATCTGCTTCTGTTCTGATAGTTCTCTTACATTGCAGGACTTTATAGGTGGTTCTCATGATTGCATGGTGACCTTAGAGAACAGAGTGCGGGGTCTTGAGAGAGTTGTTGAAGACATGGCACGAGATTTTTCAATATCAACAGGTAGAAGAGGTAGTAGTAATATGGTTGGTTTTGAGGGATCTACTAATAGGCCTCTAGGAAAATATAATGGTTTCCCTGATTACTCCAATGGTATGTTAGGAAAAGGTAATGATGGACGCATCTCCTTTGGGGAGAGGTTTGCAGCATTTGATAGTGCTGCTTCAGGCATGAGGGGCAGGGGCCCTTCTTGGAGATCTGATGCACCTGAATCTTGGGACTTCCACTCATATGGTAAAAATGGCCAAATGGGCTCTAGGAGAGCTGCGGTTGGCGGTCCTACAGATATTAGGCCCTTTAAATCGGAAAACGAGGCTGATCAGGTTGGCAGCAGGAAGGGTTGGGAAAAAGGAGCCGGAGCTGTTAGATTTGGCGAGGGTCCTTCTGCAAGAAGTGTCTGGCAGGCATCAAAGGATGAAGCAACTTTGGAAGCAATTCGGGGTGCTGGCGAAGACAATCGTCCTACTCGAAGTGCTCGAGCTCTTTTACCAGAGATGACTGCTGAAGCATTAGGGGATGATGGAACAGTGCAAGAGCGAGATCCAGTTTTGACTTCTTGGAGCAATGCAATGGATGCACTTCGTGTTGGTGATTTGGATTCGGCCTTTGCCGAAGTTTTGTCTGCTGGGAATGAATTCTTTCTTGTAAAGCTCATGGACAGATCTGGCCCTATAATTGATCAACTTTCTAGTGAGGTAGCAAGTGAACTTTTGCATGCTGTTGCACAGTTACTCCTGGACCAGAACTTGTTTGACTTCTGCTTGTATTGGCTTGAACAGGTACACCTTCTGCTAAATTCCGCCTGTGTTTTAAGCTCTCCACGAGGCTTGGCATGAAGTATAGCCTCTTCATTTTCAAAAATAAAGTAAAAAACTCTCACTTAACAACAGGAATAAGGTAGGCAACATTTTGCTAGAATTTATTCAGTAGTCATATGGAGGATTAGGATTCTCGTTGGCAATTGTATATTTCTATCTATGCTAATGTATGAATAAGTAATCCCTTTAATCAAGTTATTATCTTCGACTTACTTGCCAAAAATCTCTGATGCACTAAAAAAGTGCGATATAAATATTTCTTTAACCCATACGTTGTAAGCATTGCTTGAAGAGGGTAACTTTATCACTCCAGAGGCTTTAGTTAAACCCCTTGGCATCAGCCCAGATCCTCGTAATTTAAGCACGTTCTACAATGTTGGGACCCATCTTTAATTGTGTTTTTGCTGCCTGTTCTCAGTTGGTAGATATCGTGATGGAAAACGGTCCTGATGTCCCACGTATTCCTATGGAAGTTAAAAGAGTAATTTTGCTGAATTTGCACGAGTCGTCTTCATCGCTTGACTTACCCGAAGACTGGGAAGGTGCAGCTCCAGACCAACTATTACTGCAGTTGGCATCGGCCTGGAATATTGATCTGCAACATTTGGTGAAATAGCTTCCAATACTATTCTTGACTAATTTTTGGAGTTAATAGTTGAAATTGATCTTCATTCAAGCATTGAAGATCTTTCTTTGCCTTTGTAACAACTGAAATGTTATTGTTACTGGCTTGGATTTTTTTCTTTTTTCTTTTTTCTTTTTTAATATTCGATATAGGAAGTGTTTTCTAAATTTACCAGAAATTTTTACAGGATTATGGAAGTAAAAGATGCTAGTTTTGAACCTGTAGCCAGGATGGAGATTTATAAGAGCGAAGTTAATGGTTCAATGCATGATGATTTGAGTTTCAACTTTCAACCATATCTGCATAGTTTTTAATTGTTTAAAAGAAAAGTAAACTTCATGTGAAACAAAGAGGGTAAGTGTTCAATCAAAACATTATTATTGGCACAAATATTAGATATGGAAATGAGATTTTACTCGTAGCAAGAACGTTAGATATAGTAAAAAAGGCGAGAAGAAGTAGGGAGTTGAGCTAGAGAGATGCTACAAAAATATGTAGGACACGTGTCAAAACATGAATGAACGGTTTGAAAAAAAATAAAAAAAATCCAATCAAATGCAATCAACTCAGTCTGTTCACACTTTCCTTATTTTTAACCTTATTCAACCATCATTTCCCATTTAGCTATGGGGGAGGATAAGAATTATTTTGATAGGATTTTTTGGGACGTTGAGCCAAGGCTAGGGTCCATGGTTTGGCCAAGGATGGCTAGATTTGAAGAAGTTGATGGTTATTTTTCAGACGAAATAGTTCAAACTCAATCCTAACAATTATAGACTTTGGCAAGGACCGATAAAAAGGATTTTTTAGCTCCTCGATAGCTGCTTACTACTTTAAAGAAAAAGCACAAGGATATGATTTTCTTTACTCGATATATTAATTTTGGTTGCAATAGTAAAATTGGTTAAAAAAAATTAATAACAAATAAATAAAGGAGAGAATAGAAAAAAAAAAAAAGATTTTTGTTCTCTCTTTTATTTAAAATTAACTACGACGATGACGATTTTTCATTAAAAAATCTAGAAATTCGAGAGTGAAATACCCTATTGAATATCAAATTGAATGGTTACCTGTCCATCCGGATGGGTTATGTACCTATTTAGAAAAAGGTTGTGAATCAACTTGCCCTTTTTATAGATTAAGGACCATATTGAACTCAGTCAAAAGATTGATGACCAACAATGCAATTCTCCCATTGTTTTAACGTTTCAATTAAACCCTGGTAGAAATTTCACTCGTGTCATAAGCGGATTTTGGCATCAAAGTTAAACTGTATTTGCAAGCAAAAGAGTTCTGAATCCTTCAGGAGACCCAGTTGAAGAATAAAATCCTATTCTGCTTCAAGCCTAATTGAATTAGAACTAGAACTGGGTTTCGTGAATTCTATAAATTTCAAATGGCATATTCTGAATACAAATTATATTTTCTGTTAATGCATTTGGTTTTTCTTTACTGAGAAATTATGGAGTTTAATCCCACTTACAACGAGGCCGTTTCATTCGTTGAGATTGTCAAGCAACGATTTCAACATCAAGAAAGTGTTTATCGAAAAATTTGTAGCATCTTTGCAATGTTCAGAGGAAGACTTGTAGACCCAGAAAGTTTAATTTCCAAGGTGGAGATTATGTTCAATGATCATGCAGACCTGATTTCAATGTTCCACAATTTCTTCCCAAAGAATTTACCGATGGCTGTCGCCGGGGACAGAAATACAGCCCCCGTTTGTGTTCCAACAACGTTAGAAAAATCATCTGATGAGGGTCGGATAGACGAGGTGAAGGACGACGGAAGGGAAAAAACAAAGCTCTGTATTGAATTTGTTAACCGGGTGGCGGAAACTTTACAGGATGATTACAAGTATAAATCGTTTCTCGATGCTGTTAATGATTTGGGGAAGTTCAAGAACATTGCCCAGGTTCGTGACGAGGTTTATGTTATATTTAAGGATCATCCGGAATTGGATATTGAGTTTTCAAGTTTTTTAATGGATTATTATGAGGCCAATTCCAGGGTTGAAAAAGACGCCAATCTCAGTTTCTTTTCCAGGAGTACGAGTGCTAAAGGTGTAGCAAAGAAGAAAAATTATAAACAGATCATGTTTAAATGCGAAGTTGAAACGTATGAAGCTGACATGGAGTATCATTCTCTTCAATCAACCATGGAGGCCGTGGATCAAATGGTGATGAAATTGAAAAGAAATCCGAACGAAATGGTCTGCATTGAAGATTACTCCAGTGTTTTGAATTTGAAGTACCTGAAAAAATTTTATGGTGATCGTCGTGTTTTGAGGATGAGGAGAAATCCAATTGATTCGAATGCAGTAACTTCCATAGAGTTGGACCTGAACAATGAGTACGTGGAAGTTAAAAAGCGCTTGGAGAGGGCTAGGATAAAGTGTGCAAGAACTATGAAGGAAATCCACGAAAAGGCGTACAATCAAGAAAGTGCAAAGAGGACAAGCCCAGAATCAACGCTTACATACGAAGAGAACAAGGGGATAATGGAATCGGAGAATGAGGAGAATCCAAGATTTGATCCTGAGCAAGTTCAGCCGATAAAACGAATCAAATTGAAATTTCCGAAGTGATTCTAGTAAAAATTCAGAGTTCATTAGAATATTCTTGCGCTATTCATAGTTGAATTTATGTGAGATATTAGATTTCTTATTGTACATTTGCATATGCTTGATCTTCGAGTTGATTATTAGTAACTTTTTAGGAGGAATAGAAGTGGGGATCAAGAAATGTGTGGATAATAGTAATAGTAGTTAAGAATGTTAGGTTGACATGAAAGATTAACTTTTATTGCGTAGTAGAAGTAACTCTCTTAAGTTACGAAATGTTTCCCAAACAGAAGCATGTAATAATACAGTCAAATAAATATTCCATTCTTGTGCAAAGTTGAACTTTATGCTTTTTCTGAGATAGATATCCTTGCAGTTTGATATAGTAGTTACTGATGTTTGCTTCTTGTATGTATAATAAGCTGCTGCAGTGCTTATTTTACACGAGCTTCCAAGGATTCATATTTTTTCTTTGCCCTTTCTCATCCAGTGCACGGATCAAGTATGTACCACATTCTGTCCTTCCCCATATACCCTCAGTCGAAGGGAGTTGAAACATATGCTTTATAGATGACTAAAAGTGACATGCAAGATTAGAACAGATTAAAGGAAAATTTTGTTTGAGCGTTGCTGGAATTAGATCAAGATTTACAATGGAATTATATGAACGAAATATTTTTGAGTGTTTGTTGCCAAGTATTCTCAGCTTTGCCCTAGGAGGGGACCATTTGTCCCTATTTATAGGCTGGAAGATCACACTACTTGACCGCCTAATGTCATTTCAGCTACAACACTGACCTAAAAATGCGTGTCATCGTCTAGAGTCCTAGTTTCCTGATTGGTCAGTGAGGTTGGCCATCCAGGTCATTATGATCCATATGTTGCAGCTATTTGTAATTGGTTGAAAATAAGGTGCTGACGTCATAATTGCCACGTGTCATGCAGAAAGTGTTGATGACAAGGTGAGGCAATGAGGCAGTAATATATAAATAGTGGTGTCCCTGTAAATTATGATGGCAATTTGTCCGATCTGAGCTTGTGTTGGGATGGATTAGCATACTGAAATATTTAATTAATATGGTGTTAGGTCGGACCCCAACATGCTGCATGGTCCCTTTTTTTCTGTCATTGCATTTACGGGTAGTCTTTCTTTGTTGCTGATATAGTGAAAAGTGGACTGGGTTGCATTTTCATTTTGAACAATCTGCTTCTCGTGTGACTGTTGTTATCGGAAATTCGACTAACGCAATCAAAAGAGCAAATAAAATAAGCAGATAAATAGAAAACGGTAGATGAAATGAGATATGCCAAAGCAAATCTCCTTAAGACAGATTTCGCCCCCCAATGAAGTGCAAACGGGATTATGGACGTCTGTCTCCCAAGATACAACGCTCCTTCCAAAATCGATACTGCACAATACCAACCTTGTCGATCAAACTAATGAATGATCGTACTCAAACGGAATAACCACGAAAATATAAGAGAATCTTTAGAGCAGAATATGGAGAGAGAAGAATTTAGAAATTAATTAAATTAGTAATTGATTTGGTATATAAAAAACGTATTTGGGGGTCTCTATTTATAGAGATTGAAGTGTCTCATGGAACGGGTGTTTGACATTTCAGGAACTAGTACACCACTTGGTCTGATTCATCTTAACCATTGGATCGCACTATTTTCATGATCTGACGGCTCAGATTGAACCATGAAGTGAAGTATCTATTCATCATGCCTATTCACCAATTTCTGAACAGTCACAGCCATGCGTACATCTAACCGCCACGCAGGACGAAGGAACGCGACCTACCTCGCGTGCGCCACCTAGAATGCCAATTCATCGAGCCTTGCGCTGCCACGTCATCTAACCACGAGTCCATTTTTGAAAACTATAAGGCTCCCCACGACGATGCGTACGTGCGAAGTGCGCCTCTAAAGCGTCCAATGCTTACTTTGCGACATGCGCGTGCTGGGACCGGGGAGCGTCGCGAGTGGTGCGAAGCACCACTCTAGCGTTGACTAGC